ATATATAAATTCTCTAAATTTCCTAAGTCCCTAAACCTTTAAGTTCGTAAACTAAGTGAAGTAATTCCAAGGCATTCTGGATACCTATAGGACGTAAGATTCCCTAAGGTTGTAAAGTCCGATGATAAGAAAGTTACTTATCGCAGCAAAGGAACTTAGATAAATTACGTGAAGTAATTAGAGAAGATTATTTCCGGTGACAACGTGAATAAGTTATTTAGTTAAGGGATGGATAATGCAAATTATACCCAGGAATTTTTAAAAGATCGTAATATTTGAGGAGATGTATAAAATTAGTGAAATGTCTGTCTTTAGCTTTTGTAACTGAAGGCAAAAAACCATTATTCAAAAGAAGAAAATCTGTAGCTTCTTTTGCATGAGAAGGTCCATAATAGCTTGTATTTGTATAATATTTAATGTCAAGGGAATATTGATATAAGTTGCAATGATTTTTAATTCATGACCATGACACAAAACATTCTGATGGATCATTTCTTTTTTCTTGTTTCTTTTTTTGTTGTTTTCGTTCTGCTTTTTCTTTGTGTATACCTTCAAATTCTAGATTTCTGAATGGATTAGCAAACTCTTTGACATATCGTGCATTGACACTTCTTCTAAAAATTAAATTTCGATGCTAAATATCACAAAGTAATTCTCTAGCATAACGAAAGTTTTAAAGGGCCAACTCTGAATTGATAACTTTACTTTGTGTATTTAGGTGTGATCCAAAATGATCAATTGATAGTATTATACCTGCTAATTTTCCAAAAAGTATTACTATATCCCTTTCTAGTGGATTATACTTGGACTGTTCTAAGACGTGTGTTCGTACAGTCAAATAATCTAAATTAAACTTCTGAAAAAATTGACAATATGTTTTGATATTTTTTAGATGTCTCAGATTCTTGTCTGATCCTCCATCTACCAATAACACTCAGATAAGTCGAGTTTCTCAACACATCATTATATTGAGGATCCAGAATAAGGCTTTTGAAGACTTACATGTATTTGAATTAAGACGTACCAAAGGACCATTGATGGCATACAAAAATGGTAAGTTGTTCTGTTCATAACTATTTAATTTGTTTGGTTTGATCATAAGATAAACTGATAAAACAACTTCTTAGAGAAAAATCATAGTCAGCCACACTAAAAGCTCTGAATTGATTGTAACGTGCGAAATGTCTAACCTACAGCAGGTATTCTAAGTCCTATCTTCGCTTTATCATCTTGGAAAATAATAACAGAATTATCAGCAAAGATAGTAGTAAACTGTCTTGCATGTTTAATGGACATAAGACAGTAGTGACTATCAAGGTGGTCCTGCATTTCAGTACGGGAAACTCCAGCTACTACAACTCACACTGGATGATAATATGCTCTTGTAGCAATGGAATTGGATTGATAAGGCAACAGGTAATTATTCAATGTTATTCTTGCCATATAAACATTATAATTTTTTTAAGATTTTTGTATAAATTTTTAATGATTCGCACCTTAACCACTTCTTTTTATTATTTTTTGTCAGCGCTTCAAATTTGATTGAATCATGAATATAATCGTGTAAATTCAGATGTTTAAAAAGAAGTGAAGTACAACCAGGTTTATCAAATACAATTACCTCCTTATTTTTGATAAGTATTTTTCTTTCTTTTTCTTTATATTTTTGAGCATAATTAGCATTTCTTTTTAACTTAATGATTTTTTCTCTGTTAGATTTGATTTAAGCTCGAAGACACTTAATTTTTAAATATGTATTATGCTGAAATTGAGAATCTATCATGATGTTATAGATCTGCTCAAATTCAATAAGCTTTTTTTCAGCTGTTAATATCTCATTTGCTGCCTTTCTTTGTGCTGATGCATTTATAAAGATTTCTGATACAGGATCAATTAAGTGAATCATAGGTAAAGTAGAAAGAGGAGAGGTTAAAGTTTCTTTAAGTACAGAAGGCCTTGGTCTTATTGTTGGTATATTATATAGATTATATGGTATAGCCAGATAATTTCTAATAATATCTTCAATTTTTTGCCTTATCCTTATTTTTGATTTTGCTTCATTCTTTTGCTGCTACACCACAAACTTCAGCACGATTAGGGTACCATTTCCTATTTTAACCATAATACTATATACATAAGCGTTGGTGAATTCTTAGTACTTATTAGTTGATAAATTATATATTGGTTTCTTATTAAACTTGGGGCTAACAAAGAAGGTTTGATTGCTCATTTTTGCACTGAAAATAAAATTATTGACATGTTTATTTATAAAAAGTTTTTTATAATCAAAATGTGAAAGTTGAGCGTGTTATGAAACTTTGTAGCAATCTGAATTTCTTTTTTCTAGTAAAATAATTCTTTCCGCAATAATTTGAATTTTTTTTTGTAGCGAGAGAATGTAAAATAATTCCCTCTATAGTAATACGCAGTAAAATATAATCATCATAAAAAGATGATTAGCATCATATTTTTTTTTTAAATTAGATTTTGAACACTTAAAAATCTTTAAATATATATATATTGTTTTTTGAATGTAAAATAGACTATTGCATGATAAATTTTCCTATTTTATTATCATTTTTATCATTTTTTTAATATATTGATATTTTATAACTAATATAACATACTAATATATAAATTCTATAAAAGAAAATTGATTGATATACACGTAATCAGAAATTTTACTGGGGGTAAGAGTGTTAGCCGCTCTTTATTATATATGAATATAGTTAGACACATTTTTATATATAGTATAGAGCAATCTTGTAGATCAATTTTTTGCTGATCTACTGATCCGATTTTGACGAACAAACTCTTTCTCTCTTCAACATGACCACTGCTAGACAAACAAAAAATTCAAACAAAAATACACAAAATAAAAATACTTTTAAAATAAAATGACTAGAATTTACAAAATATTTCTGAAAAAATTATATCATAGTAAAATTATATTTGTGTAATAAAATCAGTAATCATCTACTATAATGAATAATTCGTTAACGCTATAACGAAGATTCTTATAATGAAGTTCTGATCAGAATCAGGATCAAATCCAAATTCTGACGATGAAATATTAAATGTTGCTGAAATGTACAAAAAGAATTTTAAAATGAAAGACCATTCTTTTTTAGATATCGTAGCAGATGAAGCAATATTTCACCGGTTAATTAAATGTTGAGAAAAATGGCTACATAGCCAATTAAATTCTTTAAAAAATTCGTTATAAGCTTATAACGAAGTTGATATCCAGATCCTAGAATTCGTTATATCAAGAGTTCACTGTAAATAGTATAGTCCAGGAATATACTGAATTAGAAAATCGAATTCTAGAAAAATCATTTTATAAATTTGTAGATTTTACTGAACTTTTCACTTCAAATGCTCAAAATACTTCACTACAAACACTTGTTACCTCTCAAACGAAAAACCCAAACAACTTTGATACTGAAACTCCAAACAAATGAAAAAAAATTCTTCTTCTTCTCCAAATAATTTAGAAAACATTATAAAAAATATTATTCTTATCCCTTCCAACAATCAAACTATCACTCAGATATACCAGTTATTACCTCCAAAATCTCAAATAAAAATAAAGAAGACTCTGTTATAGAAATAGACAACCTACAACCTCTTGTTTTAATTGACCAAAGCACCAACGACTCTATGCACACTACCCCTCAAACTCTACCTCTTCTCCTATATCAGACAATATGGATACACAAACTTCTGACATCAAGGGAAAAAAGAAAGTAACCTGGAATGAAGACTTTGAACCTTACGAACAATACATTACTGATAAAATGATGATGTCAACAATGAATCTTTTACCATTATTACATTACTAATGCGTTTTTACGTGTCTACAGATACAAAGAATATCACTAGTTCCTCAATACAGAAAACGTTACATAATCAACAAACTTTTCAGCTACTTTAAAGGATACAGGGGTTGTACTACAATACTAGACAAAGGAAATTCTATATTTACTTTCATACATTAGACTCCCTTACATAAGCAACTGATAAAGTTAAAGAAACTCAACACAACCCAATTTTTTTAGTAATTGACCCTAATGCCAAACAATAACGCAAAGACAACGAAAAAGGCAGATGCATTAAAGTTAATGATATTTCTTTATTTGTAAAATCAGACATTGTACGAAACGTTTTCGAAAAATATGGAAGGATCTGCAGATTTTCAATGATCACCAGAGGTCCTTGGCAAATTGCTTTCACTGTATATGAATCATCTGACTCCATTCAACAATTTTATGATACCACTTGATCTATCTTATTAATGGAATTTTCAGTTAGAATTGAACCTACTGACATCAATGAAATTCAAACTGCTCTTCGCCAACAATTTGAATTTAAACTCACTGGACTTCCTTTTAATACCACCCAATTAGACCTTTCTGGTTTTTTGACTCAGATCAAAGCAAAGTCATGTTTTATTCTAAGAGACCGACAGTATCGTCTCAGACCATATGTATACATTAACTTTGATAATATTGATGATTATGATAACGCTTTTAACTTACAACAAAAATTTAAAATCATATCTTATTTTGTGTTACTCCTGAAATTCAACACTGTAACTTGTATGGTTCTCCAGATCACGAGATCCAATCATGTGATAATCGCCCTCATCCAAATCCGTTTAAACCTCTTTACAATAGATTCAAACCAGCTCAATACAGACCTAAACCTTTCACACCTAAACCTAACACTCCACGTAATTACAAGTTGAATAATCAATCCAAAAGACCCTCTTATTCTGACTCTATTCAAAATAGAAATAATAATCAAATGAACTATTTGGGCAAACAAAATCAAACACCTCCTCCAACTGTTGCCTCAGATATTAAATCAATGACGAAACAATTAACCTCTTTGGAAAATAAATTTCAATTACTAGAAGACAAATTAATCAAAACTCAGAACGCATGTGTCAAATTAAAACAAATTCAATTTCATACTATCACCTGAGTTGAAACCATTGAAAATCAACTACATATTAGCAGTTCAACTCCTTTAAATAATACATCATCAAACGATTTTACTCTCAATGAAAATGATTATTCCTTTCCAAACAAATTTGTTCCTGTTCAAAATCGTTCTCCTATTTTATCACATTCTTCATCTACATCACGTGATCAAATGATCAACCAACAAGAAAGACAAATTTCAATGTTACAAGATAACTTTAACGATGCCAAGAATGATCTCAAAATTATGAAAGATGCTATGATGCAATTTTTATAAACACATTTTAATACTTCCCAATGAATACTACACAACAAACAAACATATCTCTCTTTCACAGGCTAAATAAAGAGAATAACAATTTTAAAATAGCAACTCATAATATTAGAAACTGTATTTCAAACGAAAAAAAATCAAATTGAACAATTTTTTTCACTTTATAACTTTGACATTCTCGGTCTTTCTGAAACTCATCTGACTATGCAACAATTTTATTCTATTTGCAATAAATTCAAATCACCTGATCTTCCATTTAAATATTTTTTTTATTAAACGAAAAGAGTTCCCAAAATTGTCAAGGAGTAGGTTTTATTATCAACTCCTCTATTTCTAAACATATCTTTAATTATTAAGGCTTTTATGATAGAATAATTTCATAGATCTTCAAATAAAAAACAAACAAAAACTTTGAATCATTCAAATCTACCTTCTAATACATACACTACTGCCAATCATTAACATAGACTTAAAATACAACAAAAGATTCTTGATCTAATTTTAGAAGCTAAATCAAAAAATTATCATCATATTGTTATGGGTGATTTTAACATCTCTCTCAATGATGATTCTCAAACTTTTTCTCATAATGATCTTAACTCTATTTAGGATTCCTTTAGCTGTATAATTATTCAAGCAGCCAAAAATACTCTTCCCAAACACACTACCACCAATCAAAGATCTACCAATTTCCTATATAATCATCAGTCTTCTTATAAATCTCTCAACAAAATCAACAACTTCTATAACCAATGTTATAAAGATTATAATTGTAATATGCATTTTAATATAATCAATCACAATAAATATATCACTATTTTTAATCAATTAATAGAGCAAAATATTCCTACCCAAAACATCAAATCTGCATAAGATAATAAATCTTTTCCA